CGTTCGTTTCTCAGTTGTATGGTAAGGTTGACGCCTTTATGTTCGCCGAACACCGCCAGCTCCCCGCCGATTTGAAGTCGGCTAAGCGTGATGTCGCCGCCGCTGGGTGGCGCCCCCATTTCCTCCCTGCCACGCCTTCCCCTGGCGGTGGGGCCCACGGTGGGGTTGGAGCGGCGGTGCACAAAGGCCTGTTTTTCAAACGTTTCCTGGCCCATGCGGGCCAGATTCGGGACATTGGTGCTGGTAATGGCTGGATGTTTTTGGAACTCCGTACCCAGTCCGGTGTGATGGCCGTCGGCGTTGTATATATGATAGCTGACCTGGGGGTCTCGGGGGAAAACATCCTGAAGATGAAGGAAATCACAGCGTTCGTGAACACGCTCACTATTCCCTGGTTCCTGATGGGGGACTACAACATAAGCCTGGATCACATGGAGGTATGTGGCTTTCTGAAGATGACCCGTGCGAAAGCTTTACCTCCTGCTGGTGTCGCTTTCACGTGTAGTGCTGGTGGTGGTTCTTTGATTGACTATGTAATTGCCAGTGATACCCTGGCCCCCTACTTGCGTGTGTCCAAGTACCAGGCTTCCCCTTTCAAGACCCACTGTTGCCTGGAGGTCCGCTTTCCGTACGCAGCTTTGCTACAAGTGATGACCAAGCGTGTTCGGCCTAGAGCCTTGCCAGTGCATGAAGGACCTGTGCTGCCTTGTGAGTATCACTTTAAGGCTGAGCTGGCGGAGTGGACTCCACCACAAGCAGCACTGCAGCCCCAGCTTCCTCATGTTCAGGCCCACCTTTCCCACGAGCTGACCTCGTCTTATCTCTTATGGTCACGTACTAAGGAGAGGATGATGATGTCAGTGGTTGCTGGGGAGGAGGAGGATATGGAGGTCTATCGAGGACGGGGTGATTTTGTGGTGTTCCGACAAGCTACCCTTACTGATCATGCTCAGCGGAGTGGGTGTTTTGCCCAGCCGACGCTCACGTACTGGTCCACTGTCTCCCAGAAGTTGTATGAGATGCGTGTTGCTCTTAAGAAAGGTTACGGTTGTATGCTAAGATCCATCTCTTCTCGGCTGGGAGCACTGGGACGTCGAGTCCTACAGTACTGCGAGTGTCTTCCTGCCGACCAGTTTGCCCACCAGTGGCAGGCTCAGCTTTGCGATTTGAAATCGGTCGATCTGGACCGATGTCAGGAGATGATAGATCGTTGCACGGCAGTCCTCTCTAAGGTTTGGCAGGTTGCCCGCGCGTCAGCAGCTAAGGCGATTAAGGACTGGCTGTTGAAGGCGCTGCCTCGAGGTGCCGCCAAAGCCCACGCCTGGCTTAGGCGTGAAGAACAGGAGGGGTTAGAGTTTTTTGCTGCCCCAGAAGGTATTCTCCAGCTCCCGCAGGAGATGATGGCTCACCGTGAGAAAATCTGGGGTGGTTTTTGGACTGCCAGCCCAAGCCAGTTTCGACAGTTGAATGGGGCTTTGGATGAGCTTCGTGGTTGCGCGCTTGATTTGGTGCCCGAACTTCCTGAGATCACCACTCGGGACCTCCATCTCGCTGCGAGGGTCTTTTCCGAGACCACTGCGGTTGGAGTGGACGGATGGAGACCTCGGGATTTTCTGGACTTGGAGTTAGGTGCCGCCGATGCTCTTGTCGGGCTCTTGAATGATTGTGAGGCCAACATGATGTGGCCTGCCCAGACTCTCCTTAGTATTATTTGCTTGCTGCCTAAAAGCAAGGTTGATGAGCGCCCCGTTTGCAAATGCCCCACCCTCTACCGCATCTACTGTAAGGTTCGTGGGGACTTCTTGGGGGCCTGGACCCAGGGTCATGTTGACTTTTGGGATGACGCCATCAGGGGCAGCTCCGCCCTGCAAGCTGCGCTTCGCCGAGAGCTGTCTCACGAGGTGGCCGCTTTCCAAGAAGTCTCCAGCGTTGCGATCCACTGGGATCTCAAAAAATTCTTTGATACTGTTATCCCTGCTAGGCTTGTTCGTTTCGCCACTGATTTGAAGTTCCCACCGCACCTCCTTTACCTGGGCCTCCTCGTGCATGTGGCCCCCAGGATGCTCGAGAGTAGCGGCTTTTGCTCCCAGGTCATACCTGCTGGGATTGGCGTTCTCCCTGGATGTATGCAGTCCATGTCCTGGGTCAAGGTGTATTTATATCAGATTTTGAATGATGTGCATAATCGGTATTTCTTTGGGAATCCTAGTGTGTCTACCAGGTCTTACGTTGACGACATATCCCAGGTGTGCCAGGGAGCTGAAGACCAGGTCCGACGGCAGATTGTTGCCGCAGCAGTTCAGCTAGGTCAAATGGTCAATGCAGCCGAGCTTGTTTTATCTAATAAGTCTGCGGTTGTCGCGAACCGACGACCTCTTGCACTTCTTGTCGCTACTGATTTGAAAGCAGCAGGCCTATATGTCAGGGTTGAAGATGTCACTCGCGATTTGGGGACGGCTACCACGGCAGGAAGGAGGAGGACTGCTGCCATCGTGCGTGCCAGGCGGCGGAAGGCCGCTGCTCGAGGCAAGAAAGTGCGCTACTTGACTACGCTGGTCAAGAAATCTTCTAAGCTCTATAAGCCAGGCGTACTTGCCGTTGGCAC